TTAATCAAGATATAAAATTAACAGGCCTCCCCACACTGTGGAGGTCATGGAGCTAGCTCGCTCCGTTGGCAGGGCTAGCGTGATATTTCCAGATAACAGAAATTCACAAATGTGTGAAAAGTTCTGGGACAATTAATCATTCATTCGATTAATTAAGTGGATTCATCGACTAATTAAGCGTATGCATGGACTGGAGTTCATAAGTCAAGACTTTTATCATTGATTTCTTCGACTCATTTGAGAATGGTGGCCATCTGTACGTCCACTATAAAGCAACACCAAGTGTGACGTGACTGATGCTGATGACGTCATACAGCCCCACCCAATCACCTCCAGTCTAGTGGTACACATAAGAACAGAAGTGAACGTTTTTTCAAACTATTATTGTGTTATTTCATTTATCGAGTAATCAAACCAATAATTGGTGTTGTAATCGATTAATTAATATTGAGATATCCCAGCACTAGTGAAAACAAGCTGTATGTGAACCAGTCCTGCTTTCTTAAATATGCATGCACGCAAGAAATACGACTAAAACTATCAAACTAGTTTTTATTTTAGCAGGTAAGGTCCACTGAGCTATATAGCTCTCTTTCAGAAGCGACCTAGCCACAAATGATAGCTCAACCAAGTGGCTTATCATCACGTAACCATTTATAGCAGCCAAATACTCTAAACGCTTGTTGATTCTAAATGTGGAGGGAAAAACCGGAGGACCCAGAGAAAGATACATGCAACCACGGGGAGAACAAGCAATCTCCAAATATTCAGGCATCAGGGTTTAGGATTGAACCCACATCCTCATGCACACCAGGCGAGGCGTTAACATCTCAACACAAAGTTTGTATTTCTGCAATAACTATATATATTACCTAAACATCTATTTATTGTCTAACCGTGCTCGTTCAGCTATAATTATCCTTTAGCCTTTTTAATTGAAAACGGTGTGCATAAAATGACTTTGGTGGACTTTAATTTGCAATTAGTAGTTTTAATTAACTTGGTTTTATATTATGGGGAATATTTCAGCAAGTCTGTTTGATGTTTAAAAGATATGCAGTAAATTTTCTGACGACAAATGAAATAATGCCATGAATGGACTGTGCAAGTAACAAGGTGTATCTATTAATTACATCTTTTAATGGATAATTGCCTCAATTAAGCAGCATACAATTGCTTCAATCATGTCTAGAGTGCAGAGGGAAAACACCTCAGTGGATGCCTATTTTTAATTCGAGAATAATATATTCTACTTGAAAAACACACACTAATTTTTCAATTTCTGTACAACTGAAGGTAAAACCCAATCATAGAGCAAAATTATCGTTATTGATATATTTTGTAGTTTCCAATTCTGCCTCACTAGGCTCTCCTCATAACTGCATTTTTCAGCCACCTGTGTAGTTCCAGTTCCAGCTATAAAGTCAACGATTAGACATCGAGCACTAACCTGGTATTTACATTTTTACTATATTTATTTTACCAGGTAAGTCCCACTGAGCTATATAGCTCTTTTGCGGAAGCAACTTGGCCACAAATGATAGCTCAACGATGGCTTGGCTTGTCATGTGGAAATATATAGCAGCCAAATACTCTAAATGCATGAATCTAAATGTGGAGGGGAAAAGACGGAGGTCCCGGATTTAAAAAAACATGACCACTAGAAGAAAACATGCAAACTCCAAATATACAGGCGTCAGAGTCGGGATCGAACCCACAACCTTCTGTATACCAAGAAAGGTAGTTAAAATTTTGCCACCGTGACACCCGAGATATAAGATACTATTATGACTCGTGAAGAATCATGCAAATGTATTGTGTTTTCAGTTACATTTCGATTTAAAGCTTTTGTGACTGCAGGGATTCATCTTCTTGGTTCTTTCGGTAAAGTCACGTAAAAGGGAAATAATAAAATAATAAAAATAAAACATAATAAAATACAATTCTCACGACGTTTCGGCCACAACGCAAGCAGCTGTCCTCAAGTGAAGAACAGGGCTGTCGGAAAGACAGCGTCTGAATGAACACCACCAAGCTTGGCAGCGTATATTTAAGCTGGGTTAGAGGAGGAGGGCGCCTTGACAAAGGAATTTGCATATCAACAGAGGGATTTAGCATATTTATGGAATATATATTATCAGTTAAATTGTCAGGAGCAGCAATTAACTCAATGAATAATAGAAATATAATAATATACTCCCTGTATTAATTAACTTCTATATGAAAGTTTCCTAATGAGTGCGGTCTCTGAGAGCAAGAAAAGACAATAAACATTCCCTGCCAAACAAAAGCCCCTTATTTTTTGTGTGATTCCCATAGGTTTATAGATCGAAAAAAAATCGATTAAAAAATCGGAACATGTTCTATTGATCATGGCGGTTATTTGGCCATATGTAGTGCCATAGGTGGGCCACACTTACCAGCAGTGGTGGACAGGGCCCATCTGCAGGTACCTCGGACCCCCAGGGGAGGGGCCACTGTGCCAGCCCAAGAGGGGAGGGGCTGCTGGGGGCTCTAGGATCCTAGACAGCTAAGCCCTCGGCACCGGCTCCAGGATCCCAGACAACCCAGACAGCTAAGCCCCTTGGCGCCACCAACAGGGGGCTGTGGGGTATCTGGGGGCACACACAACCCCACCCCTCGATGGACAAGAGGGATAAAAGGGCCGCTCCCTGGCCGATCGGGGCCAGTCGCAGCTCAAGACCCAAGACCAGCCAGCTTAGGACCCTGGACCCCCTCGTCCCGCTTGTCCTTGTAAGGGCCGGGATGCTGTGCGGGCCAGTGGTGGGACTCTGGGACTCCCGGCTCTACGTCCTTGTAAGGGCGAGTTCCGAGGAAGCCAGAGTCCAGACCCGCACCTTGGCTGGGTCGGTTCAGGTAGCCTCCCCTAGGGTAATTGTAGCCGGAGGACTCCAGAGCGTAGCCAGAGTCAGGTACGCTAGGAGGAGGCTGTGTCCCTAGGCTGTGTCCCTAGGCTGTGTCCCTAGGCTGTGTCCCTAGGCTGTGTCCCTAGGCTGTGTCCCTAGGCTGTGTCCCTAGGCTGTGTTCCTAGGCTGTAACAGAGTATCAGGACTGTTGGAGTGTTGTATTGTAATAAATAAGTTACCTCTACAAGTGTCCCGGAACCCATTACACATACTTCACACTGGTCAGCGTGCTATGGTAAAGGAGGATAATCCAGGACCGGTTTATATATATCTTGCTATTAATTTTAGCCGTGCCAGGAACTCAGGTTGCTGTTCACAGAGCAGTGCACGAACCACAGTGCCAGGAACCCCACTCCCATCTTCTCCCACCCCCCTTGCCCTCTCTCAAAATGTTTAGTAATTTCTTAACAAAATTTACTCCAGCTTTACATCACTATACATATTGGGGTTTTTTCATTTAGGGTTTAATCTATTGATTACTGGTGGAAATTTTGTTTATTGTTAATCCAATAACACCATCCTACACCGTTTTATGTGACCGCAATCAAGAAAATGTTGTTATTTAATTAATGAAAGTAAAATACTTCAAGTGACTCGCTGCTGTCTCCCCCTTGTGACCTTACATCAGCATGAGAACAGAAAGCATTTCAGTTTTTTCTGACTAAAAATTACCATAATGCCATTTACAAGGGATGTGTGGTCAACCACATGCCAGTACATACAATTGCGAGCATTATATTCGTAAAATAAAAACTAATTTTAAAACTTATTTTACAGATTTGAAGCTTTCGTGACTGCAAGGATTCATACTCTTAGGTTTTTTCGGTAAAGTCACGTAGATAAAAATATCTAATAAAATAAAACAATAATAAATTTAAATAACTCAATTAAATCACGACGTTTTGGAAGCAACACAAGTCTCCATCTTCAGCTAGGACTGTCACAGCCAAATTTACTGTATCAAGTGAAGAGAAATCCAGGAGACAAGATCTTAAATACTGGTTAAGGGGAGAGGGGAGGAGCTTATCTAAATGTGGCAGTCAGGGACTTGGAGGGGGGGGGAGCGGGGCTAGAAGGGAAGGTACAGCTGATACACCTCGGCAAGAATTACGGCCGATGTTGGCTGCCAAAACCAAAATAGCAGCACTGTTAAACGCTGGGGATGTCAACAACTCGGTAAAATAGACTAGTACCTGTCAAATAAGATGGTACAAATATGTGTAGTTAAATCTTTTTTACATGATTAATAACATCTTTCCAATGATTTCTCAATTTGTACCCATCATCACGGTTGAAGTTATGCTTGACTTTAGAGGCTAACCCCTCTTTTCCTGATGACGACCGCTTGTGTTGCGATCGACACGTCGTGGTTTTTGTTTATATATTTTTTATATTTAAATTACTGAAATAACCAAGAATACGTCTACATTATAGACTGCCAGAGCGCTCACGCAGGTTAAGAACCAGGCTACAGTCTACATTATAGACTGCCAGTACACTCACCCAGCTTAATAGCCATTGATACAGTCTACGTTATAGACTGGCAGTACATTCACCAAACTTAATAACCAGGCTACAGTCTACATTATAGACTGCCAGTACACTCATTCCAATTAAAGAATAGGCTACAGTCTACATTACTGTTTTTTGTTGTTTATTATTTTTATTTTATTATAAAAATTGTATTCACTTTTTTTTTCTACGTGATTTCACCTAAAGAACCAAAGAATATGAATTCCTGCAATCACTAAAGTTTATTTTTAAGTGAAATTTTAAGGACGAATCGTTGCACTTATCTTGAAAGTAGTACTTGTATATAACACATTTATAATTGCAATAGGTTTTTTTTTGTGAAAGTCATAAATCAATATAAGGATTCGCCAGACTTGGAATGCCTGTCCAGTAGTCTCTTGTGTTTCACTGTGCTGACAGGAATTGATATGCTGTATAGCTGGCACTCATTATTAATATTCTATGCAATTTTACAAAAAAAAGGTTTACTGTATTTTGTATTTGTGTCACTTAATAAAATATATATTTTCTGACATTCAAATCTGTCATTTTCTCTTTCAGATATATCGAATGTGGGCACAATTTACTTAGATAATGCTCATCTTTCATCATCCTTTCTGCATCTCCCTGTCAAGCTAACCTTCAAAAACATCAAATCTGCTTTCTTTCTACAGAACAATAGACAGGGTAATGAAGGAAATGCCAGCCTCCAAATGCATACTCAACACCTTCTCATTATTGGCTCCACCAGTGGTGATCCTGGGGTGAATGTCAGCTATGGTCCGTATTCACAAGGCCAAACATTTCACAGAAACCCACTGTCACTTCCAAATACTTTCCAGCAAGCATACCGTGCCTTGAGAGACAACTGGAGTCTCCAAGCTTTGCTCACTGAAGAAGATGTTTTTTCAGACTGGCCAACGGTGCAGGTCCTGTTCTATATCTCTGGCAGAGACTGGGGTGACCGACAGGTACATGGCCTGCCATGTGTTCAGATGTATGCGGTCTATAAAATCCAAAAGATCAGGACTTCTTGTAAATTGCAAGGCGAACTCAGCATGTGCTTGGCTAAGGTGATTATGCCTCTCATGTGGTTCGAAAAAGAAACCCAACATTCTGGTAACGCAAGTGGAAAAAGCACCAACGAAAGGCGACCTGCGAACATAGAAGTTAATTTGTATGCCACCATGGAGCCAACTGAAGGCCGCGATAATTGTGAACGTGACGCTCGTGTGAATGAAAATGGTTTTATAATGCCACATAAAGTCAACGAAGATTTTTTCAAGCAACACTTTGAAATGATTGGGAGGGTTTTCTTGCACCCGCCTGATGACCCCTCTCCGCTTGAAGAAATACGGCTCAATGACCGGGTCGTGATTTACCTCCCCAGCATGCCCGCAAATCCCCAGGATGTTCTCAGCATTCCCCTGGGACTTCTACACAACTACACAGTAGAGCATCTCACTATCAGGTATGATGGCACAATACATCACCACAAGCTGATTCCACACATCCAAAAAAATGTGACTTGATTAATCATTGCCGCATTTTTAACACGGACATTAACCAGTAAGTAATTACTTGTGTCCTGGTTATAATTTTTACAATCCAAAATCCACGGTGTTGTCCGAATTGTTGCTCATCACTACGAGGTGTTTAGTGTTTGTATTCAGGCTAAAAATGAAAATTTTACCTGAATTGGAATTAATATAAAATATAGATATTCGTTAATTTGTGATCTTCCTTGTTTCACTTATTGTTTTATGTTGACATTTTATTCCATGAGTTTGCATTGTGTAAATTGGAAAAATACAGGTATTGTGCAATTGTACAGGCAAACCCCACCCATTGATTTCCAATCTACCCATGCAGACAACTCCAGCTAGATAGGTTAAGAGTGGCCGAATAACAATCATAATAATGCCCTTCTTTTATCCAGGAAAACCTCGCAGACTCCTTTCAGGAGGGTCCTGTATGGGGATGTTTGACCAATTGCTATTTTAAGTGACTCAAGTCTCTATTCTTCCTCACAGTCATCTTGCTCAGGTGCCCCAGCCAGAACAGCTCACTTCACGAAAGCAAGAGGAATTATGACCAGTATGGAAGAACAGTAAGCCAAAAATACCCTCTAGAGGGGATTTCTAGGACTCCCTCTTGCTAGTGGAGGTGCTTCTATCAGCAGAAGCATGAGACAGGAATTTCAGGGCAGGCTTCATCTTCACCTTTTTTTTTTTTACTATATTAAGTTGCAAAAACAACATAAGAAATTGAAGCACTACTGGAAGAGAATAATGTGCACGTTTTTGTGTTCATACAAGAACTGTACGGGGAAATATTTTTGCTAATGAAGAATGGAGAATTTTCACTATTAAATCCATGCCTGCCTTTGCCATCGTGAAGTTTGTGGCTCATCTTCTTGGTTGTTTCGGTAAAGTCACGTAGAAGGGAAGTAATAAAAATAATAAAAATAAAACATAATAAAACAATTCTCACGACGTTTCGGCCACAACGCAAGCAGCCGTCCTCAGGTGAAAACCAGGTCCGTCGAGGCGACAGAGTCTGAATGAAGCAGCACACGAGCTTGGAGCATATATATAAGCTGGGCGCATTGACAAAGGAATTTGCATATCAAGAGGAATTTAGCATATTCATGGGAAATGCAGGAATGTGATTAGTACTGCATATGCATGTGCATTATGCAGGATTAACAGCATCAAAGGGAGCTACAGTTGCTGCTGCAGTTGCTGCTGCTGCAGTTGCTGCTACTGCTGCTGTAGTTGCTGCTACTGCTGCAGTTGCTGCTGCTGCTGCAGTTGCTGCCTTATCCATTTTTAATATAACACTATGTATTATTCTACCCACCTTAATGTGTATCACACTGCTATATATTTACTATACAATTACGACACCATACATTACTCTGCACACTGCACCATGCCAGTGAGTGGAACGCGGTCTGAAAGTCACCGTAAACGTGAACACAATCAGTTAAGATCCGAAATGGTTTATTACGTCCTTCCAATGATTGCTAAGCCAGAATCCATCTTCTCGGTTAAAATTGTCTCTGTGTTTGTATATGTGGATCGCCTCATGAACGAATCTCTCATGATAGCCAGATGGCTTGCAGAGAACCTCTGTCTTGGAGAAGTCAATGTCATGTGAGCCCACTGAGTTGTAACAGTGATCTGCCACGGCTGAGGTGTTTGTCCTACCGTGTTTCAGGTCTGCTTTATGTTCACGGATGCGGTCCGAGACATGTCGTTTGGTTTCCCCAATGTAACTGCTACCACAGAGGCAACTTAGTTTGTAGACGCCAGGGTACTGTATGTCTGGAACCACATCTTTTGGTACCGTCTGTAAAAGATGTGGTTCCAGACATACAGTACCCTGGCGTCTACAAACTAAGTTTCCTCTGTGGTAGCAGTTACATTGGGGAAACCAAACGACATGTCTCGGACCGCATCCGTGAACATAAAGCAGACCTGAAACACGGTAGGACAAACACCTCAGCCGTGGCAGATCACTGTTACAACTCAGTGGGCTCACATGACATTGACTTCTCCAAGACAGAGGTTCTCTGCAAGCCATCTGGCTATCATGAGAGATTCGTTCATGAGGCGATCCACATATACAAACACAGAGACAATTTTAACCGAGAAGATGGATTCTGGCTTAGCAATCATTGGAAGGACGTAATAAACCATTTCGGATCTTAACTGATTGTGTTCACGTTTACGGTGACTTTCAGACCGCGTTCCACTCACTGGCATGGTGCAGTGTGCAGAGTAATGTATGGTGTCGTAATTGTATAGTAAATATATAGCAGTGTGATACACATTAAGGTGGGTAGAATAATACATAGTGTTATATTAAAAATGGATAAGGCAGCAACTGCAGCAGCAGCAGCAACTGCAGCAGTAGCAGCAACTACAGCAGCAGTAGCAGCAACTGCAGCAGCAGCAACTGCAGCAGCAGCAGCAACTGTAGCTCCCTTTGATGCTGTTAATCCTGCATAATTTACATGCATATGCAGTACTAATCACATTCCTGCATTTTCCCATGAATATGCTAAATTCCTCTTGATATGCAAATTCCTTTGTCAATGCGCCCAGCTTATATATATGCTCCAAGCTCGTGTGCTGCTTCATTCAGACTCTGTCGCCTCGACGGACCTGGTTTTCACCTGAGGACGGCTGCTTGCGTTGTGGCCGAAACGTCGTGAGAATTATTTTATTATGTTTTATTTTTATTATTTTTATTACTTCCCTTCTACGTGACTTTACCGAAAGAACCAAGAAGATGAATCCCTGCAGTCACGAAAGCTTTAAATCGAAAAAAGTTTGTGGCTATTTTCCAAAGGAGATATTGCCCTCAATGACGCTATCAATCTCATATGGCCTCATTCCAACTACACCGCTTTAAATACTGTGTAAGTATTAAGAAGTAAAAGTTTGTTCTTCATTTTTTGTTTTGTTTTTTATTTTAACTATTTATAAATAGCCTGTAGAATTCCACAGCCCAGAGACGCCTACAGATTTGCAGATGTATTATTACTTTGATTATATTCATCCTGTTACACACACACAGCAGTATTGAATGGCTTGAGAATTCATCGGAACGAGCTTTGTTAAACATGCAGTAAACAGCAGCAAAAGAGTAAACCTTCCTACAGAGTAAAATACTAAAATGCGCCTATTTGGACAGAAAGCTATCGATCATTAATCTACGATCATAAATACAATGCAAACATTATTAGCTTGAGGCGTTTACAATTTATTCATCCAGAACAGGTGCACAGAATTTAGCAGTGTTTACACAAAGATGTGTTAAATTATCCGAGGCAACAAAAAAATATTATAAAACACATGAATCACGATACCTTCGACAGCAGAATGTTTTGCAAATGCTCTTGGACAACTGTGGCAGATTCTGGTGGAATAAAATACTTGTTTTTGAATTCTATACGGCTAGCACTTGTCACCCTATTCATCCAACCAAACCAGACCACCATTGAGATGTGTGTGTGTGCACAAGGAAAAGGTTTTATAAGCGGAGATCTCGAACTCAATAACATGCATAATGAAAGTATCTTGTACATGATGAAGAAGCACTGTAGCCTGAGAAACACCATCTTCAATTTCTACCTTTTAAAATATCAGCAAACATCACCTTTAAAACTGAATTATAATCGTTTTATATTTACAGTATAATATGACAACATACGTTTTTGCACGATGTCAATTTATCATCAAGCACTTGCGTTTTAAAACTCGGTAAGTGTTTTTAAAGGTGTCTCCAATGGAGTTTTTTTGGGGATGTGGAAACCCATGTGACTATAAACATGTACATGTCTACAGCCACATTTGTCAATCCACTGCTGGATAAAAGCCTCCCACAGTTGTTGGTCATGAGAGCTGCTTGATATTACTACACCACGTTGGTCAGTGAGAGTCGGTGAAGGCAGGCAGCATAGTCGTGGGTGCATGGTACACACATAAATGGATGAGATGTTGCTACACTGCTATTTTATGGCAATGTAGGTCAGCAGCAGAAGCCTTCACACCGTTTTGTACATTGTGGACACCCATCCAAGCACTATACAACCTCTAACACAAGAAAGACATCTTTAGTTTCTTTTTGGAACAGGTTACATATGTAATGGGTTCCGGAGACACTTATAGAGGTAACTTCTTTATTACAATCCAACACTCCAACAGTCCTGATACTCTGTTACAGCCTAGGTACACAGCCTAGATCCACTACTCTGGCTACGCTCTGGAATTCGCCCTCACAAGGACGTAGAGCCGGGAGTTCCAGAGTCCCACCACTGGCTCTCACAGCATCCCAGGGTCCTGAGATGGCTGGTCTTGGGTCTTGAGATACAACTTCTCTCGATCGTCCAGGGAGCTGCCCTTTTATGCCTCGTCCCCAACGAGGGGTGGTGTTGTGTGCGCCCCCAGATATCCCCACAGAGCACACAAACAGCCCCACCCCCCCGTTGGTGGTGCCAAGGGGCTTAAGCGTCTGGGTTGCCTGGGAACCTAGCGCCTGGTGCCAAGGGGCTTAAGCGTCTGGGTTGCCTAGGGTCCCAGAGCCCCCAGCAGCCCCTCCCCTCTTATGTCACTACACATATATTGGCATTTTATATATATGCTATGTATTTTCAACATCTATCTTCTTCTTCTATATATATAAAAGTCTAAAATTGTGTGTGGGTTTGTGGCGGGGTTTGTGTGTGGGTTTGTGTGTGGTCACGTGCATGGCTCTCCAACGGTGGGGTTTATGTAAAAAAAAAGCCAGGTACCACGCCGTAAGCCCTGCGGTGAGCAAGCGCTATTCCCTTTTCACATCCGTCAACTTTAAATTAGTTTAATTAGCGATTTAGTGCGATTTGTGTGCACTTCCCTTTCATTTATTTATTCATGACGCATGCACGACCATGCCAACTCACGCGCCTTTGGTGGGGGATCG